CCCAACGACGGAAATAGAGGTAACAAAATATATGAAAAACCACAGGATATTACAATTTTAGAAAATCATCCGATAGATTTCATTAAAATATGTGTTGGATAGGAATAATTCCATCCTACTTTCTCCGAGAAAGATATAAGCGTGACAAAATATAAGGAACACCACGCGATATTAAAATTTATTAAAATATTGTTCGATAAGCATAATTTTTTTCAGAGATAGGAGATAGCAGCGTCACGAGCAGAATACCCTCGTCGATTACTTATGGAGACTCATTAAAATATGTGTTAAATAGGAATAATTTCATCCTATTTTCCCAGAGAAGGAAATAAGCGTGAGAAAATATAAGGAAAACCACACTACATTACAATTTAAAGAAATCATCCGATAGACTTCATTAAAATATGTATTGCATAGGAATAATTTGATCCTATTCTCCCAGAGAAAGAAATAAGCGTGACAAAATATAAGAAAAATCATGCGATATTACAATTTAAAAAAATCTTCCGATAGACTTCATTAAAATATGTGTTGGATAGGAATAATTTCATCCTACTTTCCCCGAGAAAGATATAAGCGTGACAAAATATAAGGGACACCACGCGATATTAAAATTTATTAAAATATTGTTCGATAAGCATAATTTTTTTCAGAGATAGGAGATAGCAGCGTCACGAGTAGAATACCCTCGTCGATTACTTATGGAGACTCATTAAAATATGTGTTAAATAGGAATAATTTCATTCTATTTTCCCAGAGAACGAAATAAGCGTGAGAAAATATAAGAAAAACCACACTACATTACAATTTAAAGAAATCATCCGATAGACTTCATTAAAATACGTGTTAGATAGGAATAATTTCATCCTACTTTCCCCGAGAAAGATATAAGCGTGACCAAATATAAGGAACACCACGCGATATTAAAATTTATTAAAATATTGTTCGATAAGCATAATTTTTTTCAGAGATAGGAGATAGCAGCGTCACGAGCAGAATACCCTCGTCGAAGACATATGGAGACTTCGATCTCGGCTTAAGGGACCTGCGGCGAGAGGGAGGGAAAACAAGAGAGGAAAGTCGACTTTGCCAAGCGCTCGAATATCTTTCCATATTTTAAAAGGCCTCCCCGAGTTCTCGAGAAATGGCGGGTGGAGGAGTCGGAGAAGAGCGAGACACGTTTATTCGATGTAACGTATCTGTTTATGAATCAACGAGCGTGTTGCACATCGACACAATGCCTACAACAAGGCTGGCAGATTTTGGATCTTGAGGAAAGATCCTTTCCGCGATTCGGAGGACTTGAGGGATGGTCGAATTATGCCGACATATCGCGAGTCGAAGTCACCCCCGAAATCTCGAGCACCTTCGAAACAGGATAAAGAGGATTTATGTCAATGCTCGATACAAGTGAAAAACTCGTAGAACATGGTTTAAGAACCTGTCTGAGGTAACATTTCTTCGGGTGCGGTAATTTACATCGATCTTTAAGGTGAAGTGAAACCCCCTTCAAATCAGTCAATTCGAATACAACACTTTTTTTAAAGGGTATTAGACCAAAATGTCCGAAACTTTGACACATCACTCCTGATCATCTAAGAATTGTCCTGACACATTCAAAATTTGGATTTTTAGAAACATTTTTTAACTTTGCCAAGACTAGAACCAAAATGGCGTCGAGCTCTCATATTTCGATCAATATACAATTATCGAAGACTCTGATATGAGAATCGAAAGGGTCAGGACAATTTTACGACACTTTAGAACACTCTAGTAGTCGATAAACTCGCATATGAAAGGGATAAAGGCAAAAAAAGTGTTTTATGCGCTTCTATGTCAAAACGATGGGAATACGAGGTCTCGGAGTGAAAATTTAATTGACCTGGAAATCACAGATGGCGCAGGGTGTCTCTGCAGTCAATTGGGGCCTCAGAAAGCATGAATCCAGAAACCATATTTCCATCAATATATAATTATTGAAGGCTCTGATATGAGATACGAAAGGGTCAGGGCAATTTTACGACACTTTAGAACACTCTGGTAGTCGATAAACTCGCATATGAAAAGGATAAAGGCAAAAAAAGTGTTTTATGCGCTTCTATGTCAAAACGATGGGAATACGAGGTCTCGGAGTGAAAATTTAGTTGACCTGGAAATCACAGATGGCGCAGAAACCACGATTCCAGAGGATTTCTGGAGTTTCACTTCGATTTCTTTATAATTATTGTACGAAAACGACACGTGGTGTATGCCATTTAGTACAATACCCAATATAATTCGACACAGCTGTTAATATAAAAACCAACGTCCGCAACGTAGGTATTTAGAAAAGTCTTTTTCACCGACGTCGATCAGGTTCCTCGCCGTGTTCCACTTCACCTTAACTCCTGATAAAATCGGATATCCTCGTGATATTCCACGCATAACGACGCTCCCCCGTGTAAATCCCTGCGCGAATGTCACATCAAAGATATCCGAGAGGCCGCCCTCGTGTAATATCCACTGTTCATAAGTCATTTATGTAAATGCCGCCGAGAAACATGGCCGGCGCGGTCTCGGGGAAACAAATTGATTTTAATATCCGCACTTTTCGCCGCCGCTCTTCTCGCGCAATTCCCCCTTTCTACCAGCAAAATGTCCACCTCAGTTTTCGACGAGAAGCGCACTTTCCTTTTGTTCATTATATCAAGATTATTATTAACTTAATGGGATGTGAAAATGACATCCGAGGGGTCTACTGTTCATGAAACTTTTCTCTGAAGTGGGTGTATAGAATCGTTTTAAACTTCACAACGTGAATATGGAGGCCATTAGGAAGGTTCTGACACCCTGGAAATTTCATTTTTTACACGACACTTTCCAAATCTCTATACACAAATAATAAAAAATTGAAATTTCATGCGTGGCGGGACCTATCTTATGGCCTCCGCAAAAGACTTTTTTTTTTTAGTATAATACCCAATATAGTTTGACACAGTTGTCAATATAAAAACGAACGTTGGCAAGAAATAAAACACTTTTTTTAAAGAGTATTGAACCGAACCGTCTGAAACTTTGACACGTGACTCGTGAGCACCTAATAATTGTCCTGAGACTTTCAATATTTGGATTTTCGAACAAAATCGTTTAACTTAGCCCAAGCCAGAACCAATATAGCGTCGGGCTCTCATATTTCGATCGATATACAATTATTGAAGCTCTAATATGAAGAACAAAAGTGTCAGGACAATTGTACGACAATTTAGAACACTCTAGGATTTGAAAAACTCGCATTTGAACGGGGTAAAGGCAAAAAAAGTGTCTTCTGCGCTTCTATGCTAAAACGAAAGTAACCCGAGGTCTCGGAGAGAAAATGTAGTTGAAACTAAAATCACAGATGGCGCAGGGTGGCACTTCCAGTCAATTACGGCATCGAAAACCATGAATTCAGAGGATTTCTGGAGTTTTACTTCGATTTCTTCGTAATTATTGTACGAAAACAATATATGTGTTATGCAATTTGGTACAATACCCAATATAGTTCGACACAGCTGTCAATATAAAAACGTACGTGGACAACTTAGGTATTTAGAAAAATCTTTTTTACCGACGTCGATCAAGTTCCTCGACGTGTTTCACTTCACCTTAATCCCACCAATTTTGCCTCGTGTTAATGGACTCTCGACGGCTGACTGGACTGATTTGGGGAGTTATTAAAAAGGGATATTTGTCAACAATCCGACATCCGATACCAGAACGAGGGGCCAGTGTCGGCTGTCAAGGATGAGACACGAGTCGGATCTGTTACAAGTTTAATGACCCATATGTAATTTCACTGATTATACCCGATGGTCGGTACGAAAAGTGAGCCTGATGAATGAAAGTGTTGAATCTCGATCTCTGTACCGACGTAGACGTTAAGGTGATATGAAAGGCCCTGAGAAATTGAATCCACGTCGATAAAATGAAATTAATTTATACCCTTTTTAGCGGTAACGCCATTTTGGATACTCAAGTAGTAACATAAGCTGACGCGTCCATTACCGACATTTATATTTATGTTGAAGTCTTTTACAGTCTAAGTTGAGAATTATACGAACTGAAGCGTTCCATATGTCATTTCCGTAAAGTAAGGATAAAGAGATCGACGTAAAACTGCCGAAATCCCGTGAATTCATGATTCCTTATATCCTAATGGACCAGCGGCGCCATCTGTGACGTTTAGCTGCAACTAAAATTTTGCTCACAAGACACGTGTTAGCTAAGGGACAATCCAGCGATCTCTTGCAATCGTTGGTGAAAGTATTTTCCATATTTTCCAATCTGACTCAACTGTTTTTTACAATTTAGATTCAGTTCTATGTTACGTCGTAATTTTCATTCCTAATTAAGAACATAAGTTAGAATCTTCCACGATGAATTTATGAAAGTTAGTGGCTTTAAATATGAAAAACATAATTTTGTATATATACTCTTATTTGGACAACCTAACCCTACTTTTTAGATTTCACTTCTTGAAGCTGCGTAAACGTTACACTTTTTTACTTTGATCGTCAGTTAATATTTGTATAAAGAAAAACAGACACAATTTGAAGCTGGGTTCCAAAAATGAATTCTTATCAAAATTAAAATTTGTCAGTTTTTTACAATTTTAATTGAATTTTATGCTACGTCGTAATTTTTTTCCTAAATAAAAGCATAAATTAGAATCTTCCACAATAATCAGTGTCTTTAAAAATGTAAAACATAATTTTTAATTAATACTTCTATTTACGCAACCTAACCCCACTTTTTAGTACTCACTTCTCGAAGCAGTGCTAACCATTTTTTATCTTTACAATTTGTACTTGCATGGAGTAGAACAAAAACGAAATTATTTCTCGGTTTCCTTGTTCCACGATTGAAATCGCTCTTATCACAGCCGGTATATCATCAGATTAGAGGCGTTATCAACTGATAACGCGCTGATGGGTGGGGTCGTCATCGGTCTGTGAATACCAGCGAAGCAATCTTGCACGAAACGTTTTTTATCCTTCAAGTGAGTACAACTGAAGAGCAAAATCTCATAAAGAAGAAAATCTTTAACTCGAATAAGTGCAAGTACGAAATTATTTATATTAATTAAGAAAGAAAAATATTCAATTAAAAAAAACACGCATACATCGGGATCGTAATTAGCACCATTCATTTCGCCCCAACACACATAAAATTAATAATTTCATTGTAATTGCTTTTTAGTCCATGTAATTCACACCTGCCTGAATCTTTAATCCAAATATGTGCAAGTGCGAAATTATTTATATTAATTAAGAAAGAAAAACATTCAATTAAAAATAAACGCGCATACATCGGGATCGTAATTAGCACCATTCATATCGCTCCAAGACCCTTAAAATTAATAATTTCATTGTAACTGCTTCTTAGTCCGTGTAATGCACACCTGCCTCGCTAATTACGCAATTGATGGTCATACGGTTTCGCTTATATCACGCGACTCGTTATATCAGCGATAACGACAGCTCCATATGTTACACTGTTAACAAAATGTACTTTTTTAACAGCCTACCCGAGTTATTAAAAAATTCCCATAATAAGTTGCCAATATTTCTGCTCCTCTTCTTCACGGTACGAAAAGTGCATGAATTTCATGAACATTTTCAACAGTCCACACGCCTTATTAAAAAATTCTCAAAATAAATCTGCCTCTCTTTCTGCCCCTCTTCCTCACGGTACCAAAAGTGCATGAATGTCATGAACATTTTCAACAGTCCACGCGCCTTATTAAAAAATTCTCAAAATAAATCTGCCTCTCTTTCTGCCCCTCTTCCTCACGGTACCAAAAGTGCATGAATGTCATGAACATTTTCAACAGTCCACGCGCCTTATTAAAAAATTCTCAAAATAAATCTGCCTCTCTTTCTGCCCCTCTTCCTCACGGTACCAAAAGTGCATGAATGTCATGAACATTTTCAACAGTCCACACGCCTTATTAAAAAATTCTCAAAATAAATGTGCCTCTCTTTCTGCCTTTCTTCCTCCCGGTACCAAAAGTGCATGAATTTCATTACCATTTTCAACAGTCCACGCGCCGTATTAAAAAATTCCCAAAATAAATGTGCCTCTCTTTCTGCCTCTCTTCCTCACGGTACCAAAAGTGCATGAATTTCATGACCATTTTCAACCCTAAAAAATTCCCCAAATAACAATTCCAAAGATAACTTTTTCCCACTTCTCCAGGCCATGGCGCACCTGTACCCGCCCCTGGACGGGGTCTTCAGGAAAGAGAACGTGTGCCCGATCTGCACGATGGAGATGGAGTTCGGCACCAAGTACATGTGCAGCAACAGCCACGTGATATGTCGCCGATGCAAGCCATATTACCACTCCTGCCCGATCTGTCGATCCCCCCTGGACGTAGAAATCCCACCCCCAGAATTGTCCCCCCATCAAGGTCCACCTGCGATGCACTGCATGCCACATCCCATGGTGCCCCCCTACGATGCACCAAGTGCACCTCCTCCGGAAGGATCCTTTCTGCACCAGGAAAGGGTTGCTTGGGAACCTCCAAGTCCTTCCCCAGACCAGGAGCTCCTCACCTGCAGGTACGCTCACCTAGGCTGCAGAATCAACGTGCCCAGGTACCTGCAGGAGCTACACGAGGCCAGGTGCCCATGTCGACCACCCCCTGAAGAGGACCAGGAAGTCAGTCTTCGCGTTGACGAGGACCTGCCTTCCTGTAGGTACAGAAACGTGGGATGCAACGTCAGGATGCCCAGCTGGAAGATCGGCTCCCATGAGCGAATCTGCATTTATAAGGACAGGTGCAAGCAGTCAGGTGACTCCGACGAGGAGTATGGGGATGGAGACCAACTCGTGTCCTGCAGGTAGGGGTAAAACGATGTCACTAAACTGTTGACATTTTCAGTCGTTACTTGCATCGGAGATGAGCGAGGAGATGTTTCGTACCATCGTCGAAAGGGCTCCCTAGAGTCGTGGAACTGCTTTTAAAGGGGCGAAATGTTCTCTGTCGGTAAAGAAGAACTTGTCCACAGATCTCAAATATGTATTTGTATGAAATGTTTGCCGCCGATAATGGTTATCGGTGACCATAATAAAAGCGGGTCATCGATAATGGTCGCTGGTAACCAAGAATATTCCAGTCATTTATATTTGTTACTGGGAATCAAAATTAAATTTCCGTCCCTGATAGTGGTTATTCGTAACCAGAAAAATTGTAATCAGTCACAATGGGTACTCGTAATCATATCAGTTTTAATCACGTAAAGTGGTTATTCGTAACAGCACAAATTTTAATCATTTACAATGGTTATTCGTAACCAAAAGAATTAAAATAAGTCATTTTCGACATCTGAAATTAATTGCGATTGTACATGTGCTTGGTGCGAAACTCTACCGAGTTTATTGGACACTGGTAATCAAAATTAAATTTTCGTCACTGATAGTGGTTATTCGTAACTGAACAAATTTTAACCATTTACAATGTTTATTCCTAATAAAAACAATTAAAATCACAGTTACTATTCACTTCCGATTTACCTGTATCGGTTTATCTCTACCTGTAGGTTCAGGAGACACGGATGTGCCGTCAGGATGCCCAGAAGAAGGAAGTCCACCCACGAGATGAAGTGCAACTACAGCAAGTACTATCAGTCTGACGAGGAGAACGAGAGTGGGGGGGAGGAGTCTTATCGCGACCCTGATGAACAGGTGGAATGTAGGTGGGCCGATAGAGGGTGCAGAGTGAGACCAAAATTCGGCAAAAAGGAGACCCACGAAGAACGCTGCAACTACAGGATGGAGGAATGTCCTTACAAGAGCTACGGGTGTGATGCGCTTTTCGAGCCCTCCAGAAAATTTGTCCACCTAAAATCCTGCGAATTCGCCGGCTAATATGAAGATTAACAATTTGTACACGGAGCCATTCGGACATATGGGCGAAATTCGTCTGACCGTGCAGGCGATATTCGACCAAACGTCGCGCGCCCTTAGGCGCTCTTAGTAGCCAAAGGATTAAAAAAAAAGTGTCTTATTCAGATCGACTGATTTGAGGGGAGTTTCACTTCACCTTAACAGTTCATACAGTTGGATAGGTCAGGCAGATTGTGACAGTTCGATCCAATACCCTTAACCCTTTGCACACGGAGCCAATTCGACATATGGGCGAAATTCGTCTGACCGTGCAGGCGATATTGGACCAAACGTAATTCTTTTTCACGCCTATATTTCAGTACCTATATCATAGAAATATAAATAATCTGTATAAAAATCTAAACTGCTTGAAAACGTTAAATTGATAGTTTATATTCAGGCTTCACAGATTTATAAAAATGTAGTTACACTGTAAAAAATTGCGCACCTTTTAATGATATATCTTTAAATAATATTCATAAAATTCATGCACTTTTAATATATAAAGTTATACTAAAATAATGAGTTTAGTATCTTAAAAGTGAATCGGTATACATGTATTATACACTTTTAAATAAAAAGATGATTGTATAACACACTATTACAATTTTTTAAATGACTTAATTTTATAATCACTCGAGTTCTTTTTAAGAATAAGTTTAGAACAAGATGCAATAAGTATCATTAGAACCGATCGAGAAGTACCGGAGCGGTCTTTATAAGTTCGAAAAATATTTATTCCTTCATATGATTTGGTAGTATCATTATTAACATTTTTTATTCCTACCCGTGAGTCCCTTGTTCAAATCCCGACAATGGCAAAAAATTTTTCAATTTTCAAAAACAGCAGGATTTGTCTGCGTAGCTGTATTGAACAAGTTTTCAAATAAGAATCTGCTTAAAAAGTGTTAGAAATTTATTTTTTTTTACAAATACGTATGAATATCTATAGACCATATTGTAGATATCTACTATATATATAATATCTACTATATTATAACATATAATATATATCTACTATACATATCACCTGGCCTTAAGGCCAGAAACTAGCATCGGTACGTCTCGAATTTGTACAGAAATCCAATAAAAAAATATGGTAAAAGGAATTCGCAATTTCGCGGGATTAATTATTATACGTTTCTATGAAAGATAAATCGTCGTCACTAACGATTCGCAATCCGTCAGCGAAAATGGAACTCGCAAGGGGACGATATTTCACGATCCTTGGGGTAGGAAAGGCCGAAAAGGATTTCCAAGGCGTATATACGAAAAAGGAAGACGATTAAGGATGCCTCGCTCGGGTGGTCGTATATTTTCATTGTGTTTTAACCTTAAAACCTATCCTAGACGTATACCGAACGTCGAGAAGGTTTATACTCTATTTGCGGCGACGAACGTGGATATTAGTTACCTGGAAAATGTCATGTCAAACACTGAGAAAAAAAGTCCTTAGATAAAACAAAATGGAATTTCAGCTAGCTTAAGGTGAAGTGAAACACGTCGAGGTACTTGATCGACGTCGATAAAGAATATTTTTCTAAATACCTACGTTGCCGACGTTTGTTTTTATATTGATAGCTGTGTTGAATTATATCGGGTATTGTACTAAATTGCACAATACATATATTGTTTTCGTACAATAATTACAAATAATCGAAGTAAAACTCGAGGAATCCTCAGGATTCATGGTTTTCGATACCGTAATTGACTGGAAGTGCCACCCTGCGCCATCTGTGATTTTAGTTTCAACTACATTTCCTCTCCGAGACCTCGGGTTACCTTCGTTTTAGAACAGAAGCACATAAGACACTTTTTTTGTCTTTATCCCGTTCAAATAGGAATTTCTCGATATCATATTAATCAGACTTTTTCATTGATAATGATTACAAATCCTTTAATCAGGCGTTATAACCTAAACCTTTCATTAAGGATGAAATCGACAAAATGGCAACATCGATCTATTTTTACCAGAAAGAAATATTATCACTCCACTCTTTCAAGTCCTATCGATTATTAAAATTAATAAGGAGACAATGCGGAACGGCGACGATTACGCAGTTATAGAAAAATGCGTCATGACTTTTTCGACAATCCAACAGTAATTAATCCAACAATACTAATCAGACTTTCTCATTGATAATGATTTCAAATCCTTTAATTAAGCGTTATCATAACCTGAACCTTTCATTGAGGGAGAAATTGACAAAATGGCAACATCAATCCATTCTTTCCAGAATGAAATGTTATCTTCAAGTCCTATCGATTATTAAAATTAATAAGGAAACAACGCGGAAAGGCAACGATTACGTGACTGCGTATTAGCGTAACTGCATAATGTCATAATGGCGGCATAAGACGTTCTCAATCTTTCGAGCACATAACGAGAAGACGTAGAAGTGCATCGATACCTCGAAGGTATCGATTTAGACGAATATTACGTGCGTTGTATATTTCCCGATGAATTTCGCCACGCATGCAATTTTCTTTCCGTTCGCTCGCCCTTATCAGACGGAATGAATTCAGCAGTCTGCGTGTAAGATGAAAAGCGATTTCATCGCTTAGAGGAGATGACGAGATCCATAACCCCATCTTCCCCCTCGAAAAGGACCTGGAGGTCCTTAAGGTGATATGAAAGACGCTGAGAAATTTAATCGATGTCGATAAAACGAAATTCATCTATACTCTTTTTAGCGGTAACGCCATTTTGGATAATCAACCATAAGCTGGAGCGTCACGTTACCGACATTTATATTTATGTTAAAGTATTTTACAGTTTACGTTGAGAATTATACAATGGGAAGTGTTCCATTTCAGTTAAAATCCCTTTATATCAATGATGAATATATCTCGTAGAAGAATGAATCTAACATCTCAAAGTTTCCTGAAAATCCTTTTATATCAATAATCAATATATCTCGTTAAATCTAGCATCTCAAATTTTCTTTAAAATCCTTTTATATCAATAATAAATATAGCTCGTTAAATCTACATTCTAAAATTTTCCTTAAAATCCCTTTATATCAACGATTAATATTTCGTTGAATCTAGCATTTAAATTTTCCTTAAAATCCCTTTATATCAACGATCAATATATTTCGTTAAATCTAACATCTAACAGTTTCCTTAAAATCCTTTTATATCAACGATCAATATATGTCGTTGAATCTACCATCTAAAATTTTCCTTAAAATCCCTCTATATCAACGATCAATATTTCGTTGAATCTACCATGTAAAATTTTCCTTAAAATACCCTTATATCAACGATCAATATATTTCGTTAAATCTAACATCTAAAAGTTTCCTTAAAATCCCTTTATATCAACGATCAATATATCTCGTTGAATCTACCATCTAAAATTTTCCTTAAAATCCCTTTATATCAACGATCAATATTTCGTTGAGTCTACCATTTAAATTTTCCTTAAAATCCCTTTATATCAACGATCAATATATCTCGTTGAATCTACCATCTAAAGTTTTCCTTAAAATCCCTCTATATCAACGATCAATATTTCGTTGAATCTACCATGTAAAATTTTCCTTAAAATACCCTTATATCAACGGTCAATATATCTCGTAGGAAAATGAATCTAATATCTCAAATTTTCCTCAAAATCCCTTTATATCAGCGACCAATATATCACGCAGAAGAATGAACCGAAAATAGGAAATCGAAATTCCCAAGTTTCTATACACAAACGGAGGACCAAGTTCCGAACTCTCGTCTTCGCGAAGTAATTCCCTTATCCCGATTTCGTGATAGAAAGAAATACTCTGGAGTTTTCGGCAGGCAGGAGGAAGGGATTATTTACCTCCACGGAAAGTATTCCGGCTGCGCGAAAGTTATACGCGCTCCTATAATGGCGAAGCGATCCTCGAGATGATCGTCAGGAGGATCCAAGATGGCGGCGGTGGGATATCCCGCACCTGGAGGCTAATGGCGTCTCGGCACCCTCGCCTGACGCACCCCAAACGAACCCCGAACGACGGACAGCGATGACTATTTGCAAGAGGGCGACGCATTTATGACAGTTGGAGTCACCGAACTTCAAACGGTCTTCGTAGCTCGAGGCAGGCGCCATTTTACGACACTTCTTGACCCTCGGGGTACTTTCCTTCCTCTCGGTACTCTGGGTACCACTGAAGGTACTCGCGGTGACTCGTGGACCGAAATCCCCTTTTTTAAGGTGATATGAAAGGGCCATTCTATATATTGGAACGTGAAAATGTTTATAAAACTTTTCGCTAAACTGGGGCACCGAACTATCTGAAAGTTCAGGACGTGATTATGGAGGGTCACCTTAAGGTGATATGTGCCCATAATTATGAAAGTGGTCTAAGTCAAAATTAAAAAAAAATGAGTTTATCAGTTATTTGACGCCATATTATTTCAAACGAAATTAATTCAATGTAATTTCGAAACAAAAAAGATATGACTTAGACCACTTTCATAATTATGGGCACATATGAAAGTGTGATATGTACGTACCAAAAAGATTATATGATAGTGTGATTTATGCGTACCAAAAACGTAATATGAATGTCTAATATGTACGTACCAAAAAGGTTTCACATCCCCTTAAGGCGATGTGAAAGTGGCGTCGAATAGGTTTTGTTTATAAAACATTTCCCCCAACTCGGTTTACCGAATAGTTTGAAACTTTACGACGTGAATAGGGAGACTATACGGAAGATCCTGAAACTCATGAAATTTCAATTCTTCTCAAATTTGTTTATAGGTATTTTAAAAATAGTTAATAAAAAATTAAATTTCCCGAGTTTCAGGACCTACCTTAGGGTCTACATATTCACGTTCTAAGTATGAAATGATTTGAGACACCCAGTTCGTATAAAAGTTTTTTGAACGATTGAACTTTCGGATGCCACTTTCACATCCCCTTAAGGCGATGTGAAAGTGGCGTCGAATAGGTTTTGTTTATAAAACATTTCCCCCCAACTCGGTTTACCGAATAGTTTGAAACTTTACGACGTGAATAGGGAGACTATACGGAAGATCCTGAAACTCATGAAATTTCAATTCTTCTCAAATTTGTTTATAGGTATTTTAAAAATAGTTAATAAAAAATGAAATTTCCCGAGTTTCAGGACCTACCTTAGGGTCTACATATTCATGTTTTAAAGTATGAAACGATATGAGACACCCAGTTCGTGGAAAAGTTTCATGAACTATTGGGCTTTCGGATGCCACTTTCACACCCCCTTAAGTAGGATGTCCAATTCTGGCGAGCGCAACAAGTAAATCGGAAAGATGCACTTCGGT